ATGTGGAGTATTTCATTTATTGATGTGCATATTTTGAACCATTCCTGTATTTCAACTTGGTCATGGTGTATAATCTTCTTGATGATTTGCTGCATTCTATATGCCAATATTTTATTGAGAATCTCTGCATAAATGTTCATTAGTGAGATTGGCCTATAGTTTTCCTTATTAGTTGGGTCTTTTTCTGATTTTTGGTATCAGAGGGATACTTGCATCCAAGAATGAAGTTAGGGAGGATTGCTTCTCTTTCAATTCATTGAAGAGTTTAAGGAGTATTGGAGTTAGGTCTTTTCTAAACTTTGTATGGAATTCAGCCATGAATCCATCAGAACCTGGGCTTTTGGTGGTTGGTAAATTTTTAAATCTTTTTCAATTTCAGTAGCTGATGCTGGGTTATTCAAAATTGTTTTATCTTCTTCATTGAGCTTTGTTAGTTCATGTTGTTAGAAATCTGTCCATTTCCTCTGTGTTTTCCACCCTAAGTGAATAGAAATTTTCTGAGTAGATATTCATGATCTTCTCAATTTCCATGGAATCTGTAGTCATTTCCCTCTCCTCAGTCATTATTGGGTGGATTTCAGTTTATTCTTTCTTTTTCTTGATAAGGCTGGCAAGGGGGTTGTCAATTTTGTTTATTCTCTCAAAAAAACCCCAGATGATTCCTTCTTTGTAACATTTTTTAATTTCAATTGCATTAATTTCTGCTCTAATCTTTACAATTTCCTCTCTTCTATCAATGTTGGGTTTGAATTGCTCATTTTGTAGAAACTTGAGATGTAGGATTAGGTTACTTATTTCTGTTCATTCCGTTTTCTTCATGTGACTATTTATTGCTATATATTTCACTCAGAAGACTGCTTTTATTACGTTCCATAGGTTACAGTATGTTGTATCTGTGTTTTCATTGTATTGTAAGTATTGTTTTGTTTGCCCTTTAATTTCATCTGTAAACCACTGGTTACTCAGAAAATTGTTATTTAATTTCTGTGTATATGAATGATTTGCACTTTTTTGCCATTGATTTCCAATTTTATTGAGATATGGTCTGATTTTATGCATGGGATAATTTTGTTCCTTTTGCATTTAGTTAAGCATGCTATATGGGTTAATATATGATTTATTTCAGAGAACGTCCCATGTGCAGTTAAGAAGAATGTATATTCTAATATAAATTATGATGTGGTTGGGTGGAACACTCTGTAAACATCCATCAAGTCCATTTGCTCACAGGTATTATTCAGTGATGTTATTTCTTTGCTGACTTTCTGTCTCGTTGATCTATCTCTAACAGTGAGGTGTTAAGGTCTCCTATTGCAATTATATACTTGTGTTTGGTTTTTCATGTCCATTAGTATTTGTCTTATATAGCTGGGTGCTCCTGTATTTGATGCATATATATATATATATATATATATATATATATATATATATAACCCTTTCTCTTGTAGTTTCTCACTTACACATATGTAGTGGCCTTCTTTATCTCCTTTAAACATTTTAGGTTTAAAGTTCACATTTTCTGCAAACAGAATAGCTATCCTGCCTTTTTCTGGGTTCCTGTTTCATGGAAAAATATTTTCCATCTTTTGTCTTATAATCTATGAAGTTTTTTTTTTTTTGAGTAAAATGTGTTTCTTCTATACAGCATATTGTGGGGTTCTGTTTCTTGATCCACTCTGTCAACCTGTTTCTTTTTATAGGTGAGTTGTGCCCATTTACTTTTATAGATATCACTGATATGTACTGACTTGATTTTGCCATGTTGTATTCCTGTCGCTGATTTCCTGCTTTTCTCCCTTGTTCAATTTCTTGCTGAGCCTGGTGATTTCTTTCTGTTGTTCTGGAGATTGTGGTCATTTTTATCTCTATCTAGCATCTCTTTCAGTAATCCTTCTAGGGTTGATTTGGTGGACATGAATTTCTTCAGTTGTTCTTTGTCATCGAAGTATCTTGTTTCTCCATTAAATTTGAAAGACACTTTTTCTAGGTACATCAGTCTAGGTTGAAAGTTGTTTTCTGTTAGGGCTTGAAATTTTTCACTCCAAGATCATCTTTACCTGAAGGTTTGTGCTGAAATGTTTGCCTTAATAGTAATCATAGTCTTTCCTGGACAGGTGAGTTGTGTCTTTTCTCTAACAGTTTTAGTATTCTGTTTTTATGCTGTATGTCTTGGATCTTAATTATTATATATTTGAGCATAGACATGTTTGTTGTGACTGTTTGGCACTTTGTGTGTCTCTTATTTGTATATCAGAATTTTCCTCATGTTTGGAAATTTTTCTGTTATTATTTATGTGAGTATCTTAGTTATGTCATTTGCATTGACTCCTGCATTTTCACTGATGTCTGTTAGTCTTACATTGCTTCTCTTGGCATCATGTTGAAGCTGCTGGATTGTCATTTCATGATGCTTTGTTATTTTTATATGTTCTATACATTCATGATCACTAACTGCAATAATGTCCTAAAATTATGAAATTATATCCTCTGCTTCATTTAAATGGTTTTGCCAGCTTTCAAGATATTTTTTTTGTTGCTTGACTATCTCTTTGCATATGTTTCATAGATTCTGCTTGTTTTCTACATTGCTCATTCATAGTTTCAATTTACCATGCTCCTATATTTTTGTTTTATCTATTTCTTCTCTAGCTATGTTGAGCAACTACTTTACTATAGTTGTTATTTCTTTACATGAGACATTATTTCTAATTCGATTTCCTCTATAGCATTATAGATTTCTTTCTTTACTTCATTTGCTATCTTTTGAGATTTCTGATTTATGACTTTTAAAGTCCTCTATTTCAATGTAGGTTGGTCTTGCTCCTGATGGAATAGATGTTTAAGATTGCATTTTGCCTTTTCTTTTTGTCATTTTCCAATAGGTATAACACCCATGGTGGGACTGTTTCACTCACGTTTTGCTTTAACTCTTTCAGCTGCTGCCATATTCCAAAGCTGTCTGGATTGTACACATGTATTATGCAGAGAGAGGAAAAGTCCCCTGAGTCCCTCTCCTTGGGCTATGGGCTCCTTCACCTCCATCTTCTGTCAAGAAGTAGGCCTGGCATGCAATACCAAGGAACTCTCACAGGGACGATCCTAGTCATTGGGCCTTAACTTCAGGAGAAGTCAGTACTCCCTGGGTCATGTGGTGTGACTTCAACAGGAGCCAGCTGTGATTCCAAGTCCTCCATGGGATTCACAATTCTATCACTTCTAAGACCTTCAACATGCCCTTGGCAGTCACATGAATGCTTCCCAGTTTCTACATGCCTCCTATAATTGTCAATTATCAGGTAAGCAAATATTCATTCCACAAGAGAAACCCTGTTTATGTTTTGAAGAGCACAAAAGCAGACTTTCTTTTTTTGGGCAAAACACACTGGTATTGGTGAGGAAGTGCACAAAGGAAATTTCTTCTCTCTTGTTTGTGGTACATTCATTTCAGATATCATTTTGACAGTTAATTTCAGATTAACTCATCTGACTATCTTAGGATGCTGTGCATACAGTCTTCTCTATGTCATGAAGAGAATTTTAAAAGATATGCACATGAACTTTGTTTCCAACAACTGAAAACTGCAATGTGAATATCCAATAACATTTGAATGAATAAACAAACCACAGAAAACCATGAAGTGAGAACCTACTAAAGAAAATCCATAGGAAAACACTGTACAGTAATCGCACTGTACATAATCTTTAATGATCATGATTGCTGAAAGAAGGCAGAGAGGTCAAATTCTGTCCAGTCATTACATAAATTTTGAAAATGTGACAAGACACATGTGATAGAAGACAGGTCAGTTCATATAAGAGATAAACTCTGTTCTCTCAGAGTTGCTGTGTATCAGGAATCCAGGAGCATTTGCTGGGTCTGTTACCATCATATCTCTGTGAAGACAGGCTTAGGTGAGATGGCACTATGGCAGAATTTGCTCTCAGGGTCTGTCCCTTGCTTACAGGCAGGACCCAAGGCAAAAGCCTGATGCCTTTTGGACTGTTTTCCCTTTTCTCCCTCAAAGCTCATCAGCCTCTCCTCTTGCAAGCTTCAGAGATAGCATTGGCTTCCCCACACCCAGAGATGCAGAGAGAGAGAAAAATAAATACTAGAATGTAAGAGAGAACATAAGTGGGAAAGAACAGAAGATGCATCACAATTATTTTAATGCTTGAACCTTAGTATTTGCATCACATGATGTCTGCCATATTCAGTTATTTAAGAGTGAGTCAGGAGCTGGGAAGACCTCAGTGTAGAGTACTTGTTTACCATGCATGAGGCTCTGGGCTCAATTTCAGCTCTGCTAATGCAAAATAACAACACTAAAAATAATAATAATAATAATAATAATAATTCACTAAGTGAGGCCCATAATGAAGGGAATGGGCCACTCAGCTTTTGGCATCAGAAGGTCATCTGTCAGCTATTGAGTAGGAGTCAGGTCATGGGAGTGCTATTTCACACAGGTGTGAATGTAGAAGCAGTGACAGAAGATTTGTGGGTGCAACTCCATCCATAGTGCTTGCATAGCCTGTTTGAGGTCCTGACTCAAGCCATAGCACCAGTACATAGAAGAAATTGTGATGCTTAGGGAACATAAAGATGATTGAATTGAAGAACTGCCCCCATCACGATGCCACCAGGGAATATGTCCAATAGGTCAGTGTCATTTCTACCACCAGGCAGCACTGTATTCCAAATTCATCGCACCCATTCCTGGATTTAACGTCTAATTCTGTACACTATGTACACAAGACACTAGCCAACAGGCATTACAATTGTCATCTCAGACTGGTGATAATGTCCCTCGGAAGTAGGTGCCAGGATGACCTCTATAGTGCATGGGGACACTCTGTGAAAGACTTGAGGCTTGGTGTCTTGTCTAGGTTTACTTAGGAAGTCAGAAGGAGGATTTGGTTCTAAACCCAGAGCTTTACCCTCAGAGCTGTGACCCTGCCAGCACTGCTGGTTTTTCTTAGCCTTGGGGAAGCCTTGCCTGCTACCATGGATCTATCACTTGCATGAAGCTGTTCTCTTCATTTGGAAGGACACTGGAGAGTCGTTCCATGTTCTTCCACGGTATCCACAGCAGGAGTCTCTGGGGGGATACCACAGGATATGGGTTCACAGAGACATCATAAAAGGAGATGGTGAGTGCCTTTAACCCCCAATTTACTAGGCTGTGACCATGATGCAATGACCAGAGCAAATGTAGCCAGTGTTCTCTGGTGACTCCATGTTATCCAGGACACAAGTCCCTCTAAAGAACAGATCAGGTACTACCCACATTATCGTGAATGTGCCTAACTTCCTGGCCTCTGTATATGTGAACACATAATAGGGGAAGAGGTGTCCCCAGATGGCACACATAATGGAGTGATGCATCACTGTATGAATTGAAGATGAAGGAATGGCAGGCAGAACACACTCCCTCTGACCACTCACTTCACAGATATTTACAGTGCACCAACCCTGTAGAGTAAGCACAAATAGATTAACACTGCAGACACCATTCTCTTTCTCACAGAGACAACACCACGAGGGTGGGAAAGGAAGATGGATTTCATGCTTTCCTAAAGAGTGGAGGACAGGTGGTCACAGCACTTTTAGAGACTGCTATCAGCAGGGGAAGGCTTCCTGGGCCAGCACTGTCCCATTCAAGGCAGTTAGAAGACTGGGCTGGGCTCTCTGCTACTAGAGCAGGAGGCTGGTGTCAAATTCCACAAGATGTCTCAGCTGAATTGGACCAACCTGAGCTCACTAAAACTAAGCACTGCCTTCAGAAGGTTTTGACTTTGGCCTGTGGGCCTCTGGGTAGTGCATGGAACATTTGAAAAGGAGAAAGACTGCCAGCCTTGGAACCTCATGCAACCCTGAGGCACGCAGAAATGAGTTGATTGAAGATGAATGAGAAACTTTGCTGGGGTGGATTTGATCGAACATGAATGAGAAACTTTGCTGAGAAGTTCTGGGGCCTGCAAGGAGCAAGGACAGTTGGTGATTGTTCTCCTTCTGCTGATGCAGGGCTGGTACGTGACTAACCCCAAGTCCCAATTGCAGAGCTTTGGTCATCTGCACCTCCAGTGACTTCACCAACTCTGGGATCAAAGTGAAAACTAAGGTCAGGCACCCTGTCTTAAGGAATTCCATAACTGGCACTTTTACTGCACCATGACAGGTGTCTTGAACTCTACTTAGGGCCAAGTCCTGCAAAGAACCTGCTTTTACCTTCCCATCCCCTTGAAACCCCTCCCCTTGTATTTCTTTCAGTTTTGATTTTTATTCCTATGTCTATAATTATTCTCAACATCAAATTGTAAGGTAATTTTAATTAAAAGTTAAGATATCATGCATTTCAACATATTCAATTCAGTAGCACGTCATCCCATCACTAATTTGTACAATTTCCACATCCATTGAGTTCCAGCACTCTGCTCACTTTGGGACCCTTCCAAATCCTTGTTCTCTCTTGCTACTCCCCACCCACTCTGACTTTTTCACCCTCTAATTTAGTACTGTGGGTCTTTAATATTCATGCATCAGATTATGTTGGCCAAATATTCCTAGAAGAGACTGGCTGCTTTGCTCTTTGATAGAAGACAAAATCCCAGGTAGACCAAAGTGTACAGGTAAAATGTATTGAGTATTTACTCATCTTTCCGTGTTGGAAAAGCTTTCCCATGATTTCAGTGATACAAGGGAAAGAGAAAGATCTGATTCCTTACATTTGAAAAACAGAAACAAGAATAATGTAGAATCCACAATAAGAAATCTTTACTTACAAGCAGCAGACAGATAATTAATTTGTATTAGAGGTGACAAAGAGGTGTCATGAGTCCATCTGTGAGAGATGAATACTTCTTGTAATTCAAAAGAGAATCACAACATGTAAACAAATGTAGAAAACGCCGAGTGTCCCAAAGGTGATTCCTGCAGGCACACATCCCTGACATGTGCTGGGTCCCCATCTGATGGCGGGTTTTAAGGCAAGTGCTGAACAGCACTGGGGAGAACATGGTGTGCAGAGAAGAGCCCTGTCCAGTAGCTCCCATCACAGCTCTACACAGGTGTCCCCGGACCTTGCAGTGCTCAGAACACAGATTTATCCCACACAGAGATCCACATAACTTTTCAAACTTTCTGTTTAACACTGTGGTTCACAGCACCGTTTGAAGCAGGAGGACACTGGGAGCCTTGCTACACTCCACATAGAGAGTTCAAGGCATCAGAGTGGGTCATGAGAACCAGGGAAAGCTGCAGGGATGCTGAGCTCAGTCTCTCTGGGACCACAAGGAAAGAGGAAAAGGAATCTGATCACGAAGTAATACACTGATGAGAGAAGGATGTGTGCATGGAGGATCATGGTTTTGAAAAGGAAATGTCTCTTACATCAATGTGTGTCCACAGACAGACATGTAAGTATGTATGCCTAAGACTGGGGTCTCAGCAGTGTACTTTCTTATGCAAAGCCTGATTCAAAATAAAAAAGAAATTTAAAAACAGAATTTACTGTAGTTCAGTGCAAGGCCCTGCATTCAATTCCCAGAATTGAGTTAAGGAAAAAAAATGGGAGTAAGCTGAAGGGCTGCAGAACACCATCACCTGGTCGTTCTGGAGAGCAGTGTGCCCCAAGCAGCTTTGAGTCTCCACATCTTTCTTGGGCACTTTGATTTTAAAGAATGATCAGTTCCATGAAGGATGGGGAAAGGAGGATTTTCATCCAAGAATACAAAGTCTCATTAACAATGGAGAAGAAATTTTCAATGATTACTAAACTGCATGGTGACCACAGTTAATAAGGATAGCTTTCAAATCTGGTAAACAATGGGATTTGCAGTTGCAGTCACTGTGAAAGTATTTGTAGGTTAGTAAGGTGGTAGACACATGGTAGACACATTAACTAGATTGATTTTTTTCTACAAAGGAGCCATAGATCAAAAGCACATGTTACCTCACAAAGATTCATAATTATTGTGAATTACTAAAGGAGGATATCCTATACCTGTACTCCCAGCACTCTGGGAGGGGAAGGAAGGATGACCACAAGTTTAAACCCAACTTGGAGAGCTGAGTAAATTATTTACATACTATCTCAAAAATTAAAAAAAAAGAAACCAACAAAATTTTAAAGTGCATGGGCATATAGCTCATACAGGAATCCCTGGGATCATTGAACACAGTGTATTAACCACTATTCTGTTACAAAAAAAAATTAATCCATTGATAAAAGTGTTTTCATTCTTTATTAATATCTACCTGTGTTACATTAAAATTAAAAAGAGTAAAAATTGGTTGCTTGTTTTATTTTCCTTTGAGACAAGGTATTGCTATGTACTGCAGGCTGACCTTGACTCAACAAATATTTCAGGCTAGCCTTCAACTCCCTGTGATCCTTGTGTCTAACCCTCCTGTGTGCTGGGATTACAGGCATGCACCACCATGCCTTGCCATAAAGTGTGTTTTTTTAATTGTAAAGAGGATTAAACCAAATGAAATAAAACAGAATCAATACAAAAGGATGAACATGGTACATCAGTTAAAAATAAAATCCAACAGTAGGTTGTGTGGCCTCTCATCTGGTACAGAAAATGACTCAACACCTTGCTGAACTCCAAATTTCTCCAGATAATTGGGCAAATACCTAAATTTTGCAAGGTGTCTATTGTTAACATGCCTTGTCTACAAAGCAATTCATATCAAGTACCAGGGAAAGAACACAGAACTTTGATTTACTATTTTCAATGTCTGGAATTTATCCCAAGAAAAAAAGATATATGCTCAATGCAGTTTTTCTAAGAGGAACTAGACTTGTGTACATGGTCAGTAACAGGATAACTAAGTAAAACTCTACCTATGCATATAATATAAATATTCAACACTACGCAAATACATAAATGATATGAGCAGAACTGGGGAGTATGGTTAGAGACAGCCAAATACGGACAAGATGGGTATTCTGCATCAGGTTCAACAATGTGGGTGAATTATTTTTTTTTTGTGGATTTAAATTTTTAAACTGCTGATCACACTTCCTCATCCCTCAAAGCCCCATGCCACATCCAGACTCCTCAAAAGCTTAAACACACAAGAGGCACCAATATGAAAACAAGCAGAAAGCCCTTATCAATCGAATGGACTGGATACAAAGCATATGCATGTAGAATAACAACTGTCTTAGTTTAACATCTAGGTCCTCTCTCAGTCTCTGCAGGGAGGGGCTCCAAGTGGAATAAAATCGTCCTATTGGGGTAAATATCCACGGTTCAGCTCAAGCTCACTGAGAGCAGAGGCCATGTGAGACCCCCAGCTGCCCTGCCCACAGGTCCCACACCAGGGCTTGGCTTCCAACAGCACCTGGGGGAGGGGAGCAAGGATCTCGGGCCACGTGCCAGGCCTGGCCAAGGGGACCCCGACAGAGAGGAGGGAGGAAAGGAGGGCCCTGAAGACCTGAGGCTAGGTCGCCCCAGGGCCGCACCTGCCGCCTCCCTGGACCCCTGACCAGAACACTTGTGCTGCTAAAGTCAAGGCCACCGGGCCGCGCTGCCACTCAACACTGCCTGCTGACCACCTACCTGGCCCAGACCCCAGTCCCAGCCCAGCCACAGCCTAGATGGAGGAAGGAAGGAAGAGTGCTCAGGTCTCCAGAAGGGGTCGCTAGCGGCAAAATGGCCACTCCATGCATCCCCTGTGAAGCGAGGCCGGGAAAGGGGTGGGACTGAGTGGGATGCGGAGACCTGTGGCTAGGGACCATCTCTGGGCGCGGGCCTTCCAGGTTGGTCCAGGTGGAGTGTAATCTTCGCAGGAGGCCAGGGGGTGGGGCCAAGCGATGTGTGTGGCGGGGCCAGAAGCTGGGAACCAGGAGGTGCAGAGCCCTCCAGGAGGCAAGAATGAGGCGGTGGGCGTGGCAGTGGGGGTTAGGGTTTCTATGACACTGGGTGCGGCTGCAGGTTGAGCTTCATGGAGAACGAGCCCCAGGCTTGCTGTGAGAAGAAGCAGAGAAGTGGACTGAGTCTGAGGCTTGGAATTTATAGATGTCTGGACTCAAATCTTCCCGGGCCTGACACTTTAGGTACACTGCCTCTCTTCTGGGAGCCTCAA